GCAGCCATCATTGTTGTTTGGCGGGTCCGGGCTGGGGATTCGAACCCGCCACCTTAGGTGTACGTGGCTGGCTCCTTAGCCGGTTGAGCCATAGGCGCCGAGCCTATATAGCATATTTTTAAGATTCATCCATGTTGTATCAGCACTTCATTACTTATTATAGCTAAATTCCATTGTTGGGGTATATTATGTTCTTTTCATCCATTCCTTAGTTAATGGATGTTTGAGTTGTGTTTTTGACTATCATGAATTATATTGCTATGAGATTCATGTACTGGTTTTTGTGTGGACATATTTTTTTCAGTTTTCTTGGGCATATACCCAAGAGTGGGTCATACGGTAAATCTATGTTTAAGTTTTTTTTTTTTTAATGTCTTTGTTCCACACCAGGCGTCCTCAAACTACAGCCTGCTGGCCACATGTGGCCTGCCTAGGACATTTATCTGGCCTGCCAGGTATTTTTGCTGCTGCTGCCTGTCCTGCTTAACAGCCAACTCATTCCAGGGCCTGAAGTCCGGCCCTCTAACTGTCTGAGGGACAGTGAACTGGCTCCTGTTTAAAAGTTTGAGGACCCCTATTCCACACTCTCAATTAATAATGACTTTCTGGGGTATAGAATTCCAATTTGAAAATCATTAGCTCTCTGAATTTTGAAGGTATGACTCCATTTTTGTTGTTATTGCAGTTTTTGGCAGGGGTCAAGTTTGAACCCGCCACCTCTCGCATGTGGGGCTGGCGCCCTACTTCTTGAGCCACAGGTGCAGCCCCTATGTTTAAATTTTTGAGAAACAGCTGAACTGTTTTCTAAAGTGGCGTATCATTTAACATTCTCACCAGCAGTGTGCGAGTGCTCCACTTTCTTTCCCTTCTTGTCAACATTCTTACTGTCCTTTTTTTTTTTTTAAATAGCCATCCTAATAGACAGGAAATGGTATCTGATTGTGGTTTTAATTTGTATTTACTTAATGACTAATGATGTTGAATGTCTTTTTATGTGCTTATTGGTCTTTGTGTATTTTTTTTCAGAGAAATGTCCGTTGAGATCCTTTGCTCATTATTTAAGTGGATTATTTGTCTTTTTATTGCTGAGTTCTTCATATATATTCTAGATATTAGGCCCTTGTGTGCTAGATGAATTGTAGATATTTTCTCTTATTCCTTGGGTTTTGTTTTCATTTTCCTGATAGAATCCCTTGATGTACAAAAAGTTTTCATTTTGATGAAGTCCAATTTTTCTTTTGTCACCTGTGCATTTGATGTCATATTAAAGAACTATTGCCTATGCCATGGTCACAGAGATTTGTTCCTATGTTTTCTAATACAAATTTATGAATTTTATATTTGGGTGTTTGATCTTAAATGGTGATTTTTGTTGAAAAGTATTTCTTTATTTTTCATGTGAGATTACCTCATTAAGGTAGTCTATCTTTTAAAGTTCTATAGTTTTACTTCTCACATTTTTATTTTTCTTCTTTTTTTTTGGTGGGGAGAAAGAGCAGTCTTGCTCTGTCATTCTGGGTATAGAGTGGTGCAGTGGCATCACTGCAACCTCTAACTCTTGGGCTCAAGCAATCTTTTTGCCTCAGCCTCCTGAATATCTGGGACTATAGGGAAGGCCAGTACACCCAGCTAATTTTTTCATTTTTTTGTAAAGACAGTCTTGTTCTTGCTCAGGCTGGCTCAAGCAATCCTCCCACCTTGGCCTCCCAGAGTGTTGGGATTATAGGTGTGAGCCACTGTGTCTGGCCTCACATTATTCTTTAATCCAATGGAAACTTTATACATGTTATATACTCGAGTGTTCATTTAGGTTTATCTACCTGTTTGTCATTGTATTCACTTATCATTTCTTCTTCAAATTCAGTTCTTCTACCTAAGATAACATCTTTCTGCTTGAAGAGTATCCTTTGGAATTTTCTTTCGTGAAGATTTGCTAGTTGGAAAATTTAATATTTTCTGGCTTAAATATTATCTTTTCTTTAAGCTTGTTTATTAAAATATATTTTCATTTGGATGTGGTTATTTTCTCTCAGCA